ATAATAGTTTTGCACTGACTTTGCACATGCTGTTCCCTCTGCCTGGATGCTCCAGCCTTTGTGAGGTTGGCTCTTGTGACTCCTGCAGATTTCAGCTCAAATGCCACTTCTTCAGCATCTTCCTCAGACCACCCAAATCACAGTGCCTGCCCCAGGCACTTTGCTTTATTATCCCAGAGCACTTCTCACTATTTGAGATTACCTTGTTTTGTCTGTCACCCCTCGTTAGCAGGTAAACGCCATTAAGTTAGATCTTCCAGGTCGGGTTCACTGCTGTAGCCCCAGCTGTAGTAGATGCTCAGTTGCAGTCATGGAATGGATGAATCGTTGGGTCAAAAAAATATGCTTTTACAATTTTAATAGAAGTTGTCAAATTGTCCTGAAAAAGCTATACCAATTTACCTTCCCACTGATAGAGCGCCTGTCTCCCTGTGCCCTTGTTAGCACTAGATTCCTTCCAACTTTTCACTGTCTCCCCAAAATACAAAAATCAAGAAACAAACAACAACAAAAATATGTTTAGGATGACAAAAAAGTTTTGGAAATAGGGGTGATGGTTACATAGCATCATGAATGTAATTAATTCCATGGAATTGTATGTTTAAAAATGGTTAAAACAGGGCTGGCTGGTTAGCTCACTTGGGAGAGGTGGTGCTGATAACACCAAGGTCAAGGGTTCAGGTTCCCATACTAGCAGGCCATAAAAACAAACAAACAAAAAACAAAAAAAAACTCACATGTACAAAACAAAACGAAAGGTTAAAATGGCAAATCTTGGGCCGGCCCGGTGGCACACTGGAGAATGCGCTGCTTGGGAGCGCCGCAGCGCTCCCGTCGAGGGTTCGGATCCCATGTGGAGACCGGTTCCCGCTCACTGGCTGAGCATGGTGCGGGCGCGACACCGAGGGTTGCGATCCCGTTGCCGGTCAGTAAAAAAAAAAACAAAAAACAATCAATTGGCTAGAAGAGAGAAGCTTAGATGTTCTTATCACAAAGAAACGATACCTTTTTTTGATGATCAATTTGCTAACTACCCTGATTTGATCACTTCACATTGTATACATATACTGTACCCCATAAAAATGTACAATGTTTTAATTAAAAAAAAAAAAACATTCATGAATAGCCAGAAAATTAAAAAGAAAGGACTAACTTTATCAAATATGAAAATATTTTGAAGTCCACAGTAATTAAAGCAGCAATAAAACAAAAATAGAGAAATCAAAAGAAAAGAATTTAGTCCATAAATAGATATAAATGCATATGGAAACTGAGTACATGATGAAGGCAGCATTTCAAATCCATAAGGGAAAGGTAGTGTTTTTAGCAGGTGGTCTTACTCTAAGACCCATATCAAGGGAGGAAGATTGTCTTTTGGTGGCTGGCTAGCATAAGGATCCAAACCTTTGACCGTGGTGTTACAATCTTCTAGCCATTTGAGTACAATAAATTATTGTTAAATACAGATGTCTAGCACTATTGCACACCACTAGAGCTTATTTTTCCTGTAAGCTGTAATTTTGTGTCCATCAACCAACCTCTCCCTATCCCTCCCACCTCCCACCTTCCCTTGCTAGCCTCTAGAAACCACGGTTTTCAAAAGCTTTTGCATTATGCTTGCAGGGTAAAGAGGGGCAAAGGTAGATATGGGTAGACCTGATGGAAGTTTCTCACAGTATTCCAGGAGAGAGATGGTAGGAGACTAAAAGGGTAGAATCGATTATCCTACTGTATTTGAAACTTCAGTCATTATGGGGTATACTTTCATAATTTTTGACAAATCTATATGTCACCTACATTATTATTAATTTATTTTTTCATTAATTCTGTCTTTTAAATTTTAAATACTTATATTAAGCTCGTCCTATGTAATATCCATGAAAGCATGGATTAGGTGTAACAGTTTTATTTTTATAACAAATTAAACTGAATAGATTAACAAAATAAACATTGTTTGCCCATGTAGCACCTAAAATTATTTTGTGTACTACAAGCAGCTGAAGAAACATTGGTCTGAGAAAACTATTCTCATCAGTTCTCCAGATAAAAATCTTCACATAAAAGGGGTCCCATCTGGGTTGTCTGGTAGTATCTTGCATTAGTCTGTTTCTGTTGCTTATAAAGAATACCTGAAACTGGGTAATTTATAAAGAAATAAAATTTATTTCTTACAGTTTGGAGGCTGGGAAGTCCAAGGTCTAGGGAATGCATCTCATGAGGGCCTTGTTCTGGGTGGGAATTTTCTATAGAGTCCTGTGGTGACCAGGGTACCACATGCCGAGAAAAACTAACCTCCTGCTTGCTCTCCTTATAAAGCCACCAGAATCATGCCCATGATGTCTCATTACTTCATGAATAGATTAATCCATTCATGAGGACACACCTCTCAAAGGCCCCACTGTTCAAACACCACAGTTGGATTTCCCATCCTCTTAACACTGTTACAATGGAGATCAAGTTTCCAATACATGAACTTTTGGGAGAAACATTTGACCCAAAGCATATCTGTTGCTTGAATGGGATGCTGCTTGTACCAGTTCAATCAGTCTGGGTGGTTTTATTTGTGAAAAACATCAAGATATTCACTTATATGGTATGTGCACTCTTTTTGTAATTATTATAATCCAAAAAAAAGTTTTAAAGAATTGCTATATTGGGCCGAGCCCGTGGTGCACTCAGCAGAGTGCGTCGCTGGGAGCGCTGCGGCGCTGGGAGCGCAGCAGTGCTCCCGCCGCGGGTTTGGATCCTATATAGGGATGACCGGTGCGCTCACAGCGCTCACTGGCTGAGCGTGGTGCGGCCAGTCTCAAAAAGGACAAAAAGAAAAAAGAATTGCTATATTGGTTTGTGCTAATTACCTGCAATAAGATCTGTTACATGTGCACTTACATAGGTTATGCAAAGAAATACACTAATAAAATGAATAATATTACACAAATTTAAAACCCTGGTAGCAATTCACTTCTTTAGCTTTCTGATGTTTCTGCAAGCAAACCCAGTCTCACAAAGGCCCCAGTAGGTCTGAGAAGTGCCACAGATGATACCAGAGGCCAGTCAGAATGTTCATGGAATGATAAAATGTTGGTAAAATTACCCGAAGGGCAGAATTAGACAATAATGCCAAAGGCCAGAACCTCAATATCCTTATCTCTTAGCCTTTATTAAAGGTTCACAGAGATAAATGGAAAATGCTATCCTAACTTCATGGAGATCAAATTAAGGAATGAGATGGCAGGGACTCAAATATCTTGTGCTGACCTGTCACAAACACTTACTCAGATGCAAGTAAACACACACCACATTTTTACCCTGAAATGATTCTGGCTTTTAGACTCTGAAATTCTCTGCTTTCACAGTCTACCTCCTACTGAGGACCCTCGGCACCAATATTAACGAAAGTTATGATATTTCTGACACTAAAATCTCACTGTGAAATAGAAGCTGCTGTTTCCCAACATGGTGATTCATATAGCTTGTTTTGTCCTTTAAAAACAGTATCAAATAATCCAGTTTCCTTCTGTTCATCGCCATGGAGACAAATTACAAATATTTCAGTGGCTGAATAATGCTAAAAGTACAGCACTCTTCAAGGGCATCTATTAATATTCTTCACATTAAAAAAACCCAATACAACTAGCTACCTTAAAATTTAATCTTCAGATTTTCAATTATAAGTCCCACTGGTTTCATGATTATTTGGGGGCCAGTTGAATAGCAGAAGCCCACAGAGAACGACGCAGAGGATTGCTTGTCAGACCTGGAGTCTTGTTTTCTCAATAATCTCTCAAAGACCTATTCATTTCCTATTTACTGTCATTTAGGTCTCCTTCCAGAGGTATCTCCACACTTCAGTTTCAAACACCTCTGATCTTTCCAGAACTGGAAGCGTGAGTATGTCATTCCTAATCTTTAAAAGGCTTTTCTCTCCGTCCACCTGTTCCTGAAAGACCTTCTTGAGACAGCGCACTGACTTTTAATGTACACTTTTAGGCTGACCCATGTACATAATCTGCTTTCTGGAAAGCTTGTGGAGTCTTACGCCAATTAAATTTCACCTCAAGCTTCTCAAAATCTAATTGAGCAGGGCTGCCAGCCTTCTTTCATTGTTCCCCCAAACAAGCAATATTGCCCTTTGCGTCAGTGTAATTTGTTTGAACTGTGAAGGTAGGGATTAGTGTGAGGTTTCCAACTACAGTGTCAGAGAGCCTGGTGCCAGGTGATATAATTCTACCAACTGAGACTCAAATGGGGGCTCAGGACATGACCCACAGGGCTCAGCATCTGTCAGCACAAGCCTGCACTGGCTATTTAAGGAGCTCACTGGCAATGCAGAGCTCAGGACCATAGGGCAGGGACAGGATAGCATAGAACCCTGCCTTGGGCAAATGTTTGCAGATGGAGCTCAGGGTGTTGGAGGCAGGGACAGGGCAGAGGTGAGGGACAACTGTTCAGAGGGTGACAGAGGATGCTGGCAGCAGTCAGGCAAAAGATAAAAATAGCAAGAGGAAGGAAGACTCCACCTGGGCAAAGGATTCCTTACTCCCTTCGACCACAAACTAAGACACATGGCATCAGCCTAGCATGTCATAATCGTGCTTGCACATACTTTGGTGGCAGATGCACAATTGTTTTCTTCTCACCTTTCACATTTGCAATCTTATGGAGACAAAGAGACTTTTATTCTTAATCTGTGAATTTTAGCTGTTATTTCAGATGGTCCAAATATTCCTTTCACATCCACTTAGTGTCATAAAACAGGAAATTCTGGCTTTGTAGAGGAGGCGAGGGTATGATTAAGGTGTGATGTACTTTTCAGGACAGTATTTAAATCTTTACCTTATTTTATGACATATGTCCCACATCACATGGTCTCAGTTTTACAACTTGGTATAATTCTTGTACCTGATTCAGCACAGAGCTTTGTACCCTTCAAATAACTCATCTCACAAGAAGCCTATCCTCTTAGGTTGGGTTCTCTCAGAAGTAGACTGAGTCAAGGATTCAGATATAAGAGGTTTATTAAGGAAAGGCCCCCAGAGACACCAGTAAGTGAATGGGAGAAGGAGGATGGGGGAAGGGACAAAACCGAGTAAGGGTGTGATTTCATGTGAAGTCCCAGCCTCAACCTGATCCCAAGGGGATGGAGCTCTGGAGCATGTCCTTCCTTGAGGGAAGCTGGTCTTTTGACTCCTAACTTGTCAGTCAATGGCCTTGCCCAAGGGGTAGGGTGACTATGGCAATAGAAAATTCTCAGGCCTGCTGGCTCTCCATATGGGCTGACTGGCTGCCATGCCAGGTGATAGATGCCAGCCTTTAACTGCAAAGCACTTAGCTGAGGGTTAGGTACACAGAACTGGTTAGAGACCAGAGCAGGTCTGGGGAGCCCACCAACAGTGCAGGCCACAGCACTACACCTCCAATTCTGACTGCTTTCAACATGACGCACCAGTTATGGGTCTTTCATCACATTCTGCTGCAAGAGAAAATGAACAATATCTTTTGAAAGCCCTGGAGTTGGCTTTTCATCATCCAGAGACATACTTCCTTCCCCCAGTGGGTAGAAGTGGGTGTTCCTGGAATGCCTCTGTAAGATGGAGCAGCCATCCCGGTTGAAGATGACCCGGGCCATTTGAAAACTACGGAGGGCATACTTTTGGCTCTCCTGGTCCCTTAGTTCAGTGATTTTCTGAGACAGGCACTGGCAGACAGATGTAGAGAGTGTATTCCCGGAGCCTGACTTTGGATGGCCAAACATTTCATAGAACCTGTCCAGGGATTTCCGAAGTCTATCTTCCTCTTCCTTGGTCTCTGATTCGCCTTTCACAGAAGGGTCAAGCCAGAAGTTCTCAGAGGCCCAGGAGTCATTTTGTTCAGTATTTATGTTACTGGTCTCTGCAAGACAAAACACATTCCAATACTCAGACACACAATCAAAATGATCAGAAAGCAAGCCAAGAACAGACGATGTTACTTTTCAGTTCAACACACTTACTGCCCTTGAGTAACTGGTAATGGGCAGAATCAGCTGATTTCAGAATCTGCTCCCACCACCCCGCGGTTATGCTGCTTGTTTGCTCACAACAAGAACATCTTACATGCATGTGTCAGGGGTTCTTAACCTGGGGTCCCTGTATAGAAATTCAGGGTGACTGTGAACTTGGATGGGAAAAAAATCACATTTTCACTAAGGTTTACCTGAAATTAAGCATTTCTTTCCATGATAAATATAGGCAACAAGCCACCACAGTACCTTTAACATTGTTGCCAATAGATCAATGCTGTTTTTATTTCATATTAGTGTGTTGAAGATATTCTGAAATATTTATGATTATCACTATGCTATGAACTGAATTGTGCTCCCACAAAAATGATAAGTTGAAGACCTAACCCTTAATGTAACTGTATCAGGAGAGAGGGCTTTTAGGAGGTAATTAATGTTAAACAAGGTCATAAGGGTGGGGTCCCAATCCAACAGGATTGGTAGCCTTATAAGAAAAGGAAAAGAGAAAGATCTCTTTCTCTTTCCATGTGTGTGCACCGAGGAAAGGCCATGTGAACACATAGTGAGGAGGCTGCTAGGAAAAGAGCCTTCACCTGAACCTGACCATGCTGGCATGCTGATCTTGGATTTTCAGTCTTCAGAACTGTGAGAAAATAAATTTCTGTTCTTTAAGCCACCAGTTATGATATTTTACATCAGCCTGAGCAGACTAAGATATACTACTATGAAATTACCATTGTTATTAATCTTGATACTAAATCTTATTATTTAAGCATTAGTTATAAAGCATATATTCATTACAGTACCATAAATTGCTTTTAAATATTTTAATAACTACATTCAACAGTTTTTCTTGGTAATCCTATATACTTTACTTCATGCACTTAAAAATACTATTCTGAGAAAATGATGATAGACAACACCAGACCCCAAAAAAGTCCATGACATAAACACAGTGAAGATCCCTGATTTAAATAGTTCTAAACATTTACATAGTTCAGGCATTTTCTTTCTTGACTTCCTACAATAATCCTATAGACTATTTATGAATTAAAATCACCATGTTTTTGTTTTTTAAAGGGAGAGTAACAAATAAATTAGGTGATTTAATAATAGATAATAAAAATCAGAACTGACATCAAATCTTAGTCTTTTATTGGGAACCCTAATTCTTAACATAGGGATTTTTAGGTCTTTTAAAGATCTGTTAGGTCTTTTAAAACACAGGGCTTTCCTATCAATGTGTACAAGGAAAGATTTTGTACAAGTCATTGATTTGAACTATTCAATTTTCAGAATTCCTTATAGAGATACCAGTTTTATTCTTTAAAACTTTATGCTTTAAATCAAAATATTACATTTTCCTTTTTGTGCTCTGATAGAAACTTTTATAAATCACCTGCTTTGACAAGTCCCTGTCCCTGCTACCTCAATTAGCAGCTATGGTAAAAATATTTGTACTTGCTAAGGATGAAGGAAGGTGCACAATGCAGTCGGTGGAGCTTTAGGAAAGAAGTGGGTTTTCAATTTTGGTCCTAGTTTTGCTGCCAGCTGGATATATTACCTCGGACTAGTCTACAACCTTTCTGGGCTTCAGCTTCCCCAACTTTAAACAAGAGTTTTACCAAATAGTCTCTCTTCTAGAATGTCTATGGTAATATAAGGATCAGAGAAGTAGATAATCCAAAGCATTAGCACATCCAAAAAGAACGTGGACACATGTTCTGTGAGACACACACGGGCCCACACATGAACAAGCATTCATTGATTCAATAAACGTTTACAGAAAGCTGATATTAGAGCAACTCATTACAGGTTGCTGCAAGATATACAGAAGGATGCCAAAGACCCCGTCCCTCACTTGAGATACTCGAAACCTAACTAGGAAGGGAGATATACCCCTAGATATAAAGCAAACGAAAAATAAAATAGGATTTACATAGATACACAATAATGTGATGACATTTACTGGGACAGTGTGGATTCAATGGGCAAATGCAGTGTAAGGGAAGGATCAACTTATAGCAGAATTAGTGAGGGGTGCCTCTTTGGAAGGTTACTTGTGATCTGATTATCAAAGGACCAGCAATCAGAGGCCATGGAAACAGAGAACGAGGGTTAATGAACAAAGGCCAAGTGGCAAGAGAAACAGAAACTAAACTTCCCCATGGCTGCTCCAGTTCTCCTCCTCTACCAGCTGGCCATATCTTCAGCTGGCCATATCTGAGACCCAGCTGGGAGGCAGAAGGAAAGAGAACTCACACAGTGGCCGGGGAGGCTACTGAGACCGACAACAGAGACTATGCATTTTAAAGAATTCAGTAGCATTCTATACTATTTCTACTATACCAGTTTCCAGAAAGCCTAAAACTATATCCCAGGCCCCTTAATCACTTAAAAAAAAAAAAAAAAAAAAGGAAAGGAAAAGAAACTTCCCTTGACCCTGCTATGCCCAGAGCTTCTGCCCAGTTCTTCTGTCTGAGTTCCCCTCAAAGACTCCCTCGCTGGACTGAAGCTTTCTGGATGGGTGGAAGGGGAGGGAGGCAGACGCTGGCCTCTTTCTGGTCCCAGTGTCAGAAACAGCAGGAGAACAGTTCCTGGTCTGTACTCTGCAAAAGTGCCAAGTTCATGAAAAGCAAGAAAGACTGAGCAACTGTTCTAGACTGAAAACAGTCCAGAAAGAGACATGACAACTAAATGCAACGGGTGATTTTGAACTGGATCATTTCACCATAATGTTCATTACTGGAACAACTGGCGAACTGTGAGTGAGACCTGAGGATTAGAAGGTAGTCATGTACCACTGTTAGTGTCCTGATTTCGATGGTTTTATTTTGTTATGTAAGGGAATGCCCTTTTCTGCAGGAAAATCGGGTGATGGGCATGAGGTTGGCAACTTACTCTCAAATAATTTATGGGGGGAAAAAGCTCTTTGTACTGTACTTGCAAGTTTTCCATAAGTTTGAGATTATTTTGAAACAATTTGTTTATTTATTTATTTATTTATTTATTTTTTAAAAAGATGACCGGTAAGGGGATCTTAACCCTTGACTTGGTGTTGTCAGCACCACACTCTCCCAAGTGAGCCAACCGGCCATCCCTATATAGGGATCTGAACCCATGGCCTTGGTGTTATCAGCACCACACTCTCCCAAGTGAGCCACGGGCCGGCCCCTGAAAACAATTTAAAACAAACCTCTGGAGGGATAATTGCTAAAACTTCCTTTGGTGGCCTACTTTAATGTTAAAATGAAAACCTAAACAAAAAGCCTTAGCCCAGGGCTTGGCAAACAGTATTTGCCTAATGAGTGGTATCACTGTCAGAGAACCAAGGGGAGAGGGGAGAAAGGAGAAGGGACAAGGTCTTGCAACAGCAGGATGAGGTGTCCCTTCCCACTTTCTTTCCCACAGATGACCTAGTTCAGGGGTAGATTGGCAGGAAGATGGGGGCTGAGAAGGGTCAATAGGAAGGGTGGGAGCCAGCAGGGAGGTCCCCACTAGCAACACTGGGAAAGTTGGAGAGTTCCTAAAATTGCCCAACTGACGCTGCCATTTACATAGAACACTCCGAGTACCATGGCTTGTGCGTAGTAACTCGTCAACATGCTTTGATTTACAGAATTTCAAATTTTTATCTGAGATTCATTTTTAGGTTTCATTTAATTTTAACTTGTGAAATCCAATGTCCTCAAAAGAACCTAAAAAACTAGCCTGTCTTCTCTATTTTTCATGCAAATGTCAAGCAGACTGCAACTCATCCCCAAAGAAATGACCCTTTCCCTTTCAGAAGAGCAATGACATATGAGTTGAGTCATCTACTGTATCAGTTCTTTTGAACACTGCCTCCAGTCCATTTTAGTCTTTGATTTTCTTTTAAAATTTGCTTTCCTACCAATTACCAAACTTTCTCTCTAATCATATGGCTATTGTGGCCGTTTGAATGTTGCTGTTTCTTCACCAGCAAGTGAAGCTAATCTCCTCCCCTTTTCTGATGCACCCACATGGGAGGTTGATGGATCTTTCATAACTCAGTCAGTTCCTGCTCAGTGGTGCATCCTCACAGCTGTGTTCTTTTTTTTTTTGTCCTTTTTGTCTTTTTTCGTGACCGGCAACGGATCGCAACCCTCAGTGTCACACCCGTACCGGACCGGGGACCGGCAACGGGATCGCAACCCTCGGTGTTGCTCCCGCCCCTCGCTCAGCCAGTGAGCGGCCAGTCTGTATGTGGGATCCGAACCCTCGGCGGGAGCGCCGCTGCGCTTCCCAAGCAGCGCACTGTAGCAGTGCGCCACTGGGCCAGCCCCCTCACAGCTGTGTTCTAACCTCACCTTATTCTACCTGTTGATATATCCCAGACTTGTAAGGCTCTCAACTGGGACAGTAATGTCTACTCTAGGGAGAGTCCAGGTATGTTTTTGTGTCATTGATTGCAAAGTACTACTTGCATTTTATTCAGTGCGGTCAAGAACATAAACATCCTACGATGCACAGGACATTCCCATACAACAAAGGATCATCCTTTCCCAAAATGCCAGTAATGTCCCCCTCCCCCCGACCCCTACCCTGAAGAGGAACACTGGCTCAAAGCAAACACTCACTGGCTCCAAGGATGGATTTGGGGAGGATTGGGGAGTGAATGCTGAATCCCACTGCATTGCAGTATCCTGATTTGCCCAAGGCACCTTTGCTATTGTTGTCCACTTGCTGCACAACACACAGTACCCATTCACGTTATGCATTCTTCCTTTCACAGACCTCCAGATGGCTTTTTTTCCCCTCAGCAAGGACGCCAGTCCCAACAGTTTTGGCATTACCTAAATAGGGTGGAATTTCCCTTTTTATTTCAATATGCATTCCATCATGAATAGGACATCTTTAGGAAGAAGAAAAG